CAAATTCGGTACCGTAATATAAAAGAATATCGTGCATAAGGTGTAATAAAGTGTCTGTATTTTTAAATCACAAAGTGTATACTCAGATTCTGTTCGTGAAGACTTCCTTTCTTTCAGAATATTTGCCTTGTTGATAGGGGATAAAAATTGGAAACAAAGTTTCAAATTTAGGGATGAAAATATGTACACAGTATCTCCCATCCCCTTTGCATATAATGTAGGGGTGGAGTGAGGAACAACAAGGGGATGGGGGAGGCGAGTGACTTTAGCCTGCCTTCGGGAGATAAAGTAGTGGAACTTGATTGCACTACATCACTCAACTTCGGTCGGTCTGACTCAAACCCCGTTAGTTGAAATATTCCCGTGTTCTCACCCCACAACTTATACTGTTGAAAGCTGTGTATATACAGGCTACATCCCGTAGAGATATATGGCTGTATTATACTTGGAGGAAGACGTTGGTCTCTACATGTTTTATATATATGCGTATATAAGAATTATTTTCTATATAAAAAGTTCAGCTTAACTTTCCTTCACAGCTTCTTACAAAGAGTAGATAATGTCGGTGGTATTCATTATATATGAGGCCTCGTACATGAACTTTACCCCACCCTACTGAGATAACTGGAAATTCTTTAAAGTTATATTACATTTATTATGTACTTTAAAATATAATATATATTAGTTTACTCGTGGCAAAGAAGGAAGAGAGGTCTGTGGGGAGTGAAAGGAAGATGTTGATATATATATAAAGTTTTTATCGATTAATACAAAACTTTGCATACTGAGAATAAAAATGTCAACATTAAGGACTACACATAGTAGTGACAGTCGTACTGAAGTGCCTAGTTTTAAAGCAGTAAGCTGTACTTTAATTGGTGTTTTGTGGAGTTTTTCAGGTGAAAACATAATGTCCAGTAAGACAGAAAAAAAAATAAAATAAGGAGTAGTGTTCTTGATATTGATTCTACACTTGGGTAGTTGTATCCTGTGGTTTCGTGGAGTGTTGCCGAGGTTTCGGAGTTAGATGTTGCCTTCATATTCAAAGCTGCTTGGGCCGTATCATGACTTCATATTTAATTTCTTTAAGATTGATATTGTCACGTGTAGGGTGGTACGCATAACGAAAATAATGGGTTCCAGTTCGGGTGAATTTATTAGCGCTTTGGTTGCAGTTTCTCTTATTCACGCTTAAATACAGCGCTGTCGCTGATTTACACAACTTCAAGTTCACCGTTGTACACGCACTAGGATTGTCCATCATCACTAGTCGTCTCATGGCAACGGATTTCAACACAGAAAGTAGCACTTCAAATCACTGTGAAGTCTTCTTGATATTTCGTCGTCTTCAGTCACTCCGGAACCTTGCAAATAAAGATTCTTCTGGACTGACTCCTCCAGCTTACGACTGACACGTAACTGCCCCTGAACTAACTCTGTCATTGAATTCACTTCTCTTATAAGCACTCTGCACAGACCCCATGGAAAACACTGTCTCTGTTTTTGATGACGTCACTGCTCACGAGAAAGCGTGTTTACCGAGCCGTTGCTTAGAAACGGGTTGCATAACCCCGTTGATCCACCGCTGCTCGGCACGGACGATATAGAAAACAACCTCATCAATTGTTGCTTGTTGGGAGTGTTTACAGAGCTGTTACCTGGCAACGCGTTGATCAAGTTGTTACAATATTGTGACATGTTGACCCCTACCTCCCCAGCGGTACGTGGCGGTAACGTAACGCTCGCGTTACTACGGTAATAGGCGAGTTCCCGCCCCGCCACTCCCCTCCGCGGTGACGTCACCGAGGGATATCGCGGTCGCTAGGCAACGCGAGTCAACAGCGGCGACGTTACGGTAGTAACAGCGGTTACTTCCGCTAGCGTTACATAGCAACACAGCGCCAGGCAACAAGGGTGCCTATTACGTGGCCGTATTGTCCGATCGAGGTTACATAAGGAGCAGCGAAGGCTATTCACAGTTAGTTGTACTGTAACAGTCGCCGAGTCGAGTTGTACTGAGTCAGTCAGTGAGTCCTGGAGCTACCGCCGAGTTAGCCAGCAACTAGTCAGTTGTATTCTGGCATTTGGAGTGTACTATTTGTGATACTGCAGATAGCAGTAATCGTAAATCTGTAATTTGAGTGATTGTAAGTGCGAATGTGAAATAAAATTCGCTACATCGAATACATCGAGAATTTATTTGTCGCGATATACGCCCGATACGCGACAATATTAATGTTATTCACCAATCTATGTCTAGATCTCTTCAGTGGTCTCTTTCATTACCTTTTTCACACTGAATTTCTCTATGCATTCTTCATCTCTTCAGTGCCTGTATCGTTATAATTATTTGTCAGTTATAAGTTTCTTACTAATATACATACAGAGGCATTTGGATTTTAGAAGCATAAATGAAATAAAGTTGTTTGAATCTAACCTGCAGTAACTATCTACACTCTTCAGTGGTCTTGGCGGGGATCGGTGGATAGTACATTTCTAATATACATATAATCGCATTTGTATTTTACGCTTATAAGTACAAGTAAATACATTTGTTTTGAATTTAACGTGCAATTAAGGAGTGTGCGTCTGTGTGTGTATACGAGGGAATCAGTAAATACTTAAAAAAATGCAAGTAAAACAGCTGTAATGGACGTAATAAGTTTTATATATCACTAGGTAGCAACACAGTCCAGCTTAATGACAGTTACATCGAGAGACGCGCATGCGCATGCGCATGCGCATGCGCATGCTCATGCTCAGAAGCTGGTTTCAGTAGTTAGAATGGCCACCGTTCTTGAGGAGTATACTACAGAAGAGCAGCGTGCTGTTGTGCTTTCTTTGTTGTGTTCCTGTTTATGGCGAGAATTGTTTGTCGCGTAAAACGGTTCATGACTGGGTCGAGAAATTCTCGCAAGGACGGTTTAAAGTCGAGAATGAAGTTCGACCAGGTCGACCTGTTGAGATTGCGATTTATAGCCATTTGCGGCCTATTTGCTGACTTTCCCTCGTGTGTTCATATGCATTCCTCAGTGGTCTTAGCGCTGATAGGCGAACCACATGGTCGATAAAAGACACTTAGGCCTACAGCATGGATGCCTCGACCTAGAGATAAAAAAGGATGAATTATCTCAGGGGTCAGCTGTTGTAGTCATACACAATATTCCTATCTCCGTTGTACCGTGCATTGCTTGTGCAATCAATAATTCTTCAGGTGATCAAGAGATTTATTGCTGTTATGATAGCATCGAAGATCCATCACTGTCACGGCAGATTGCGCCGCTGGACGTTGTGTGGATGATACTTCACTTCTCAAAGGAAACAAAAAATATTTATACTCGATCTAATGTCATCTTACGAATATATGAGCCTTGGGAATATGACTATCCTTGGGTTTTCCGTGGGTTTCCTCAGTTTCCCAGACAAATTCCGGAGTTGCACCTTGTATTAGGCCTCTGGTCTTCCCGTCCACGTTTTTAGCCTTTGTTTCTTATTTCAGTAAAACGAGGTCTATGATATCATCTTGCTGTCTGTGTATTCCCCATAATTTTTGTTAGGAGGCTTATGTGATCACCTTGCTGTCTGTGTGCCCCATATTTTTTTTTTTAGTTTTCTTTGCAGTCCAAGTCGTATCAAATGAAAGTAGACGATTAGTTCTTCCCAGAACTTCTTGTTTATAATTTATTATTACTATCATTGTACACGTATTATTCTACATTGTACTCTGAGCTACTGAAAGCGTTATTAAATACACTACGTATTATGACTACATAAGGAGAATTTCAGTGTCTGTCTTACAAATTGAAATACTGTCAGAACGTAAGAATCGAACAATTATGTATTGTGGTAACTTGTTGCTTGGTGCAGCCAGTTAGATTACAATATTTAACACCGGTAACCACCTGAGGGTGTCCACACTGTGGTCGAAACATCTGGCGTTTCGAATCAATTCATTGTTCTGTATATAATAGTGACTTCGTGATTAATTAAGACATAATTGCATAACCGAACAGTATTGCTAGCGTGTTATGCGCATGCGCCGGGTGCATGGTCACCGCCGCCATTTCCTCAATGGGGATGGGGGATAGTTCTTCGGGGGGAAGGAGCGTGAGAACATTTGCTTACACACGTTTATGCCATATTACGAGATGAAAAATATTTTATTTTAAAATACTAGTACATTTCCACATTACTATTTTGTATATAGACATTTTTTTAATTTTGAATTGCTTCCAAAAATCTTAGTATATGCAGGTGTTTTACGTGCCCCCCCACTACAACATCCTGCGGCGCCCATGAAAGGATGAGTCTAAATTCAAGACAGTTAAAGTTTACTTGAAGCATACCAGAAAATATAAGTCACTATTTAAACAAAACTGTTTCGGTGTAATTAATGGAAAGAGAGCCCTGTATAATCACTTCTTAATTTCCCTAGCAATTTCTATAATAAGAACAGAAGATTATGTCACAAGCAAGGAGACAAGAGGACAAGTTTCGATTAATTAAGGCCGAGGTCAGTAATTAAGGTCAAGCCAGGTTAAGCCTGTTCCTTTAAAGTTATAAACTTATAAAGAGTAAAAAACTGAGTTCAGTAGGAGGTACTTAACATATAAACTTAAGAGTCTTACTCCATGGAGCCGAGTCCTTCAGAGGCTGCCAGTCGCTTAGCTACTCAAGAATTTCCCAACATATAATGGAACCTGAAATTTCATTACCGTGTTCACAGGATTCTTCCACTGGTTTCTATCCTGAGCCAGATCAGTCCAGTCCATATCACTCAATCGTGTTTAAGATCCATACTATTGTGGCGTATAAACCCGTTGCTAAAGCGACGACTCTCTAAACAGCGGCCGCTTCTGGGCAACGGCTCGNTCATGCGGGGCTGGTACAGTAGGCCAAACAGTGGCCGTCGTGCCAAGTGGACTCAGTCTCACCCCACCAAAAGAAACTTGTAACGACATGAACGTGAAATTATAAAGGCGGACTGTTATTGCTTGCAGAGCCAACTACCAGGTGTCGGGGCTGCAGCCACTATGGTTCCACGTGTGCAACGTGCTTCTTCACGCGGCCGCATCATTGCTCTTCACGCGCGTGTGTCTGGCAGTCGCCGGACTTCAGCCAAATTTCGCCGGGGCGGCAGGCGTCCTCTTCGCGGCGCATCCTATACATACAGAGGCGGTGAGTACCGGGACTACGCTGTACTCCTTTGTATATTAGAAACTTGTAGAAAGCCAGACCACGATGAATTGAAATATAAGTTGTGTTTATATTAAATTCAATTAAAAGACACCACCTCGTGTAAACACTTTTCTTAATCAGCAAACAACCGCACCCCCACACAGACCACGAAAGGACGTACTAAAATATTAAAAATTCTGCGTTCATATTTCATATCTTCTTTCGCCCTAACTTCAGTGTAAAAATAATTTTAACACAGTTCTTCGAACAAATTGTTAAACAATATATGAAACTAATGTAAGGCTTTATTTTATAAATGGGCGCCTCTGAAGAAGGCCATAAATGGGCGAAAATAGTTGTTCCGTATGTCGCTTATTGATTAAAGAGTGTGGTTGCACTGGCTGACATCCTTGAATCTACCAAATTACACGACATCACATTTCAGAAGACACTGGTTTGCATTGCATGCTTATTCACTTTGAGAAGCTTCCATCCTCAGAATGTTAATAAATAAATGCTAAATTACAGGGCGTCACATTCGCAGAAGGCAGTAGAAATCTTATATTTTCTTTTTAGTGAATCGTAGAAATTACGAAGTTCCAAGTTATGAAATTGTCGAGACGCGTGAATCGATAAACAAAACTACTTGCCACCTTGAAATTGCATTTGACACTCAGTGCGAAATGGAAGAAACAGTTCATCTGAACTTTTAAATTCACAGATCTCTTTAGTTCTGGGTCTTCGGATCTCTCTGCTTTAAAAGGTGAAGATCATTTGTTCTGGCGGAGGGGGGGGGAGGGGGAGAGTTCAAAATGACCTGATTAGAATTTCTAATGTGCAGTAGACGTCTAGTTATGGTTAGTTTCGCCATAATGTATTCCAAACTTTTTCTCCTACCAGGAACAACCTATCAGTCGTTAAGTTCCACAAGATCTTACTGGAGCCTTAATCATACGGTTTTCTTGTTCTCCGTGATTGGCTAGTGTCACTTGTGTGATGAAGAGCAAACTGATCTCGCGTTAGCTGTGCACAGTCCCTTCTGCATGTCGCATAATAACGATGCAAGAGAAAAAGAGGAGCAAATTGCTCAAGTCAGCAGCATCAGTTCTGTGAGCTGTGCGCATCACAACAAGAAACAGCTTAATCACGAGAACCACGCCTTCTGCTCGTCTGCCAAAATGTCTTCTGCTCTTATAACCTGAGACTGACAATTACAGTCTTGCAGTAACAGATACTGAAGGAATCCAGTGTAAACACTGTTTATTAAAATGTAACTTCGGTAAAAAGTGAAAATAAAAGTAAATTTATCCCTGTAACAGGCCGTGAAGGCCCATAAGGTTGTGAAACATCGGGGCTCCCACATTTTCTCTAGACAGTCAGCTCACAGATGGCTGTCAGGTTGTCAGCCTTACACGCCGGCCGCCCTTTACCCACAGTAAGATTCCTGGTATTCATTTCTGTTAGAGGCTGAGTCGACCCCCAGGGACACAGTGCGGCTGGAAGGATTAGGTAAATTAATAAATCCAATAACTTCATCTGGAATCGAACCCGCGACCTTCCGGCTTGTAGGATCGTGCCTCAACTAACTACTTTACAGCGTGCCCACAATGTAACTCTGGCACAAACCTTGCATATGAAAGCACGGATAAAATAATTACGATGTTACGCTGTGTAGTCCGTTGGAACCCTCTGCTCGCTGTCTGTTTCGTGATGATTTCTTGATTGACTTGTACTTCGACCCTGAAGATGGAGGCGGCATGTTCCTCAGTATCGAGACTATATAACGGCGGGTTGTGGGATAAGAGTAATGATAATTCGTGAAGGATTTTTAATGCCGTTGTGGCCTGATTTAGGTACTATCCCAGCATTTACCTGGAGGGAATCAGGAAAACACAAAAGTCCTCATTCAGGATAGCCGGTGTCCCGGCGGATATTCGAACCAAGCATCTCTCAAAAACGAACAAAGAACGTTTCTATTGAGAAAAAATGCCTGGTAAAATTTTTGGTAATTTAATATTCCTTACATT